GAATATGATATCATTTCCTACTAATATCAATGAGCTGGAGACATCTTGGATGATTTACATGATTTCAAATACATGCCGTAGTTTATTAGCAAAAAGAACTTCAGACTCTCTGAGAGTTTTTTAGATTAATGCGTGGACTTCTCTGGTAGTCAATAATTTTTTCAAGGTTTAAAATCATGTAAACTCTAGACTTAAATGCTTTTTTAAAATATTTTCCATTACATATTGTGTGCATTCCTAGACTGACACTGAAGAGAGTAAATAGATTTCTATTCGAGGCTACACATTATTGACTTTAAGAATATACTTCAATTCGTTTATTTCATTCAGATTACTAGTTCTTTAGAAAAATGTCAGTCAATTATTTTATCTTTTGTTTCTCTTTATATTAATAGACACGTGGTTCAGTACCTTGTTTTTGGGTACAATTACCTGATCTTCGTTACAAACCTAAAGTCACAGTATTATCATCTAAAAATCATGTAAAGAAAATTTTCTCTATTTCAATGAGATTAATGTTATTAAATACATATTTCTTTTTGTTATTAGATGAATGCATTTCGACAACATTTTGAAGAACAAGAATATTATTATGGCAAACAATTTCTTATCAGTCTTGTATGCAAAATTAATCATAAAGAATTTTTTTTCTATAAATATTCATTTCAGACAAATCAACATGGAGCAGAAGGAAGATTGAATGCAAAATATCGTGAATTATATGAAACCAGTGAAAATTCTTATCTCAAGTAAGAGAAACAAAGCAAATATTCTTTTACTATTTTTTGTTTCATTATTTCAAAAACGTTCAAATTCTTTAAAATTAGATTTGAAGATTTCGATTTCCATAAAGAATGTGCCGGTATGCGTTATGATCGTTTAACAATTCTTTTAGCTCGTCTAATAGCTGACCAAGATGATTATAAGTAATGTGAAGATCGAATTCATTTTTTTTTAATGAAAATGGATAACGCTAATTCAGATATTTTGCCTTAACTAAAGATGGTACAGCACAAATTCAACAAACTGGTGTATTTCGTACAAATTGTATTGATTGTCTCGATCGAACAAATGTTGTACAAACATTATTAGCTAAAAGAATATTAGAACAACAATTACAACATTATAATATTATTAAATATAATGAAACCATTGATTCATATAAACAATTAAGTCATACGTTTAAAAATAGTAAATAAAAACCATATTCTTTTTTTTGTTATTAATCTAAATTTTTTATCTATTTATTTTTATATAGTTTGGGCAGATAATGCTGACACTATTAGTTTTCAATATGCTGGAACAGGTGCATTAAAAACAGATTATACAAGGTACTGAAAAGTAAAACAGTCTCAAAATTTCTATGAGAAAATAAATTTGCAGATCGCACACCATTTTTCACATACCTCTAACAGATATAACAATATCAAGACAGTAGTGTTAGTGTTTAGTACTTAGCTGTTAGTCATAAGTCTAATCTTGACAACAACCAAGTCTTATAATGATTTCTAAGAAGCAATATTCGATAATACACGAACCGAACAACTTTAAAGAGCAAAAAAAAACAACGTTTTATGAATCTGATCCATATATAGCATTATAAAATGTATGGAAAATGAAATGGTACTAGTCATTATCTTTATACTTTCACAACTTACGACCTCATAACTTCATCATCTCGCATATGGATTTATATCAAATTCTAATTACAATAGGATCCAGATGCTATCACAAATATTGAGTGATATGGTTGTTAGAGAGAAAGGTGCAGTTGTATAAAGACTCGAATGAATAAAACCTTGTGATTTCAAGACTCATGCAGCGGTCTGTTTTCTTTTTATGTTTATGTTAATCACAGTCAATGATAAGCAAAATGAGAGATTTCCAATTGATTTCAGACGTTTTTTCTTCTTATTTCATAAGATCTATGATGATTTTCTTTGTCTATTAATTTAGAACTGGTAAACGATCAATGATGGGTCTAGTCCAAGATGGTTATAATTCTTGTATGCGTTATGTATTAAATAATTTCTTTGATGGTTTTCGACAAGTGAGAAATAACTTGTTCGTTTTAAATATTCTCTAAACTGTTTCGCCTTCCTTCTTAAAATAAAGGATGGTCTTGATCTCTTTTTGGGTAATTATCAAATATCATCAAATGAAGGTCGTACACCAGAATCATGTCCAATTCGTAAAGAAATAAGCAAAAAATTGTTGGCATTACCAGTTGCAATACTTATTTCGCTTTCAATGTGTATTATTAATTTATTAATGCCAGCTGCAACATTTCATGAACAAGTGACTCACATTCTATTTTGGGGTGTAACAACAATTTCAACATTAGCATTGACAATCTTTTGGAGACATGAATTAGTTGATGTACCTAAACTTCATTCTAAAGTGAAATATGATTCTTCTTGACAAACGAAAAAAAAATTTTCATTTTTTGAAATTTTTTTTAATATTCTTTTTTTGTCTATAGAGTAGTATGCATTCTTTTTAATATAATTAATAAGTGACATATGCACTAACTTCCGATAAAATTATTTTTTTTTCTATTTTTTTAGGCAACTATCCAAACAATAAGTAGACATGAGAGTGAGATTTGTCCAAGGTAGAAAGAATACTAAAATAAATATTGAATAATAATCATTTACTAACAATTTCTAACAATCAGAAAAAGAACAAGCATATAGATTAAATTACAGAATGCTAACTAATTATGTATTAAATTTTGTGTATGATTAAATATGAATCTTGTTGATTTTAATACAATTAGATATGAGGTCTAATGTTGATGATTTAAGATTGTTTTACACATACATTTCGATGAATGAATATTAGCTAATAATTTAATCAACATTTTCATCCAATTATGATATTATTTTATTGCCATTTTTTAAACTCTAATCCTAATGCATGAAACGGCTTTTGTAGAAGAATGTTCATTGATTTTATGAAACTCAAATATATATATTTTTTTAATGGAAAATAGTCATGGATAAACATATAGACATCATTTCTAAAGTGTCTACAACTCTTCGGTAGAAAATCCAGTACCTGAAGCCAAAGGAAACTTATAATCGCAATCGCAGTTTTCGTTCCCTATCATAGTACAATGTGTAGCTGGAAACCGATTTGTTAAGATTCAAGATGAACTTTTAATTGGTACGTAATATATTCATATTTGACGTGCATGTCGAAAAGTTCTTCATGTAAATATACAAAAAGATTCTTGAAATTAGATTTTAGCTTAAATTGTCGAATTCCGAACAAATTTCTTTTTTGCTAATGTTCGTTCTAGTGAACTGCATTGGTTTTTTTTATTCGAAAGATAGATGCATTCTCTTCGGATAAGGAAAGAGATTTTGTATTCCATCCTCAATATTGAAACAATCACGAATTTTCTAGGAAAACATTGCCTAAGGTTTTTGGAGTTTTAAGATTTTTAGCGTCTTAAAAATGAAACACGAACTCCATTTCCTCATCTGAAGCAGTAATGAGTTCTCTTTTAAATGATAATAGTTCGAGCGCTGCAGTCTGAAGTGTATTGACAGAATATTCGAACGCGTGAAAGCTATATTTTGTACTCTATTCTCTGGAAATCTTTTCAATAATAAGGTTTATGGCCGTGAATCTTTTTTCTCATATAATTTGATTAGCTGAACATCTTCAGAAAAATTCATGGAAACCTTATGCACTATATTGAAAATCGATTTTGGAGAACGAAGGAAACCTTGTGTTAATACTGTGTTGTCCCTCTTAGGAACACTAAGAAAATTTATTTTCAAATGGCGCTTTGTCACTTTGCATAGAAATAGATCTCAACTAGAGTAGTGTATTGTGAAAGTTTCTGATTTTTTAATTTGCTCCTTTTCTGAAATAATAACATAAAATCTGCCGGTGTATATGAGAAGTGTAAAAGACAAACTTTTATCATAGCTGTATCTTAGGATAGGAACGAAATCGTCACAAACTTTCACAATAAAGTATTCTAGATGAAACCAGTCTCCGTGAAAAATTCTAAATCGAAATTCGAAACTAAGTTCTTTTAGTGTTCTTGAGTGAGGCCACAACATTGACTTAAAAAATACTGTAAAACTGCAATATCTCGAGAACAGTGAGCTAAGGAACCTAAAACTTTTCCTTTTATTTATAGCTCATTAGGGTATACATGATCTACATGGTCTTGACTGAAAAGCAATTAATTATTTGCATTATAAATAGTGCAGTTTCAGACTTTTGCATAGATAAACGATTACATTTAAGATATGAAGGATGACGATTAGTGATGTATTGATTTGTCATGGTTATCATTTAATCAATAAGAAAAATGCATGAATTTCTCAAGTTCTAATTTTTCGAAGTAATTAATGTCAATATTTCAAATTTTATCAAGCTATATAATAATCACATCGAGATCTATCGTAAAAATAATAAATCTCCACAACAGACTCATTTGTTAGTTAGATTAATGATTAGAAGAATAATAAAAGGTAAATGAAAAAACATCGAATAAACAAGCAAAATAACGAGCAGCAACAAGGCGAATAAAAACTAGCGCGCTAGTAAATTCTTTTCAAAGTACAGAAATCAATAAGACAGATCTTTTCTGTGATGATCAATTATATGTGGAAGGCAACTACCGTTTGTCAGAAATTTTTCACTTAACATATTTTGTATTATTATTAGGAACCTACATGTGAGTGTTCTATATATTTTAACTGTAAAAGAGCTGTAATGATAACCTCTTGTAATCTAATCCTTATATGGCTATTGTAGAAGAAAATCTCACCGCTTGCTTAATTTATATTTAAATACAAACAATTTCGGATATGATATATTTATGAAAATTAGATGAAATCTGATTACTGTAATTGCTTGCTACTTCTGTTATTTATACGAACACAATATCCTATGAATTCATAATTCTTTTTCATTTAATTAATATAGTATACGTTTCTGATCGCTCAGATTTTTATCGTTATTTTCAACTTTAGATGTCTTATCATCATTACCTTAAACGACTTCTTCGTATTACACCAAAATATGATCAATCTTTAATTATACGAAATGTAGCCTATTTTTCTGGTTCTAATGCACATGTCAATAATAAAATGGATATTTTTCTTCCTTTTCCGAACTCAAATTTATCAGTACTAATATCAGCTGAACAGCAAGAAACAAATAATAAACAAATTCCTGTTATTGTTCATATTCATGGCGGTGGTTGGGTTCGTGGTAGTCGTACAAATGAATGGCGTGGTGGTCCAACTGTAGGTCGAACATGTGCTCGTGAAGGTTTCGTTGGTATAGTTGTATCCTATCGTTTAGCGCGTATATCTCTTATATCGTTTATTGCTTGGTCATTTGTCTTTGGTCTTATTATTATTATTATTGGACTTAGTTTACTTTCATGGCAACTTATAACTGGTTATGTAGCATTTATGACGTTTGCTTATGCTTATAATTTTCTGTATAAAGTACGCGTACCAGTCAATGTTGAAGATGTAAGTGAATTAATGTCGATTCCAAAATAAGAGGCAGATCAATGTTTTTCAGAATAACTTTTGATTGGAATAAGATAACTCATCAACCAGATGAGTTTTACGGGAGATTTTTGAAAAACAGTTTTCTGGAAAACTTTTCAGTTGACATCAATTTATGCTGTGACCATTCTATAGAAAAAGGCTCTTCTCTTTCGCTCTATGCAGAGCCACCGTGTCTAACATGGATTTCCAGAGTCTCTGATTTTGGCCTACTGACCTTGGAGCACTTCGAAATAAGCCAAGACATGAGTAATTCATCACACTGAGTCGAATTGTAACATTGCTATACAATTTCGTAGCAATTCAAAAGCATTATTTTGAGATTTTTGAAATACTGACTCTTCACAATATAGAAACAAAATATCAGATTTCAAAAATCTTAATATAATGGTTTTAGATCGCTTTGAAACTGGAACCAAACATTAAATGTCAATTCAGTGTAGTGAATTACGCATGTCTTAACTTCTTTCGGAATGTTCCAGGGTTATTAGACCGAAATAGGAGGTCTCCGGAAAATCCGAGTAATTCTTGAACAGAACGATTTAGATACGATGCCTTTGCCTAGAACCAAAGAAGAAAGTTTTGTCTATCAAATAGTCATAGCATAAGTCGATGTTCAGCTGGAAACTTTTCCGAAAACAGTTATCTCAAAAATCTCTCGCAAAAACTCATCTGATTGGTCAGCTGTCGTATTTCTATCGAAATTTATTGAGAAAACATTGATCTGTCATATATTTTGGCATCGATAATCAATTAATACAATCAATAACAATATATATATCTTTTAGATGATGGATGATTTATGTCGTGCACTTGTATATATTCGTGATCATATAAATGAACATTGTTCAGATGCTGATCCAAATCAAATATTTCTTTCTGGTCATTCATCTGGTGCACATTTAGTTAGTTTACTTGTTCTTGATAAATCTCATTTACATCGTCATGAATTTTCTCTATCAATAATACGTGGTGTTGTATCGATGAGTGGAATATATAATCTTGCAAATCCAACACATGATTCGAAAAATAATATTCGTAATATAATGTTTCGCATATTTTATTCAAGCAATTTACTTTATCCTGAAGGAAAACAAATGAATGAATATTCACCCATTGAATATGTAAAACAAGATGAAGAAATACCACCATTTTTAGTTATGTCAGCACGATTTGATTTGGGTTTAGAATTTGATGCAAAACGTTTTGTGGAAAAGCTTAAAAATTATCAACATTCTGTTGATTATGTTACTGTTAATGGTACACATGGAACAATTGCAACTAAATTTGCAAAAAATGATGCTCATAAACATTTTTTTAAATTTATTCTTCAGCATATGAATTATTAAAAGAAAGAAATATCGAAATAATTTATTCTTGCAATTGAGTTTTTGAATTCATTAAACAAATCTATCAACTGTTTAACTGGATAATTAAAACAATAGTAGGAAAAAAAACAAACAGTAGTCATGCATAGACACATTTATCGTTATTTCGATACACAAGATTCATCGATAAAATGTCGGTTCTTAAGATTGAAAGAAGATTATACGCATAGATTTTCTCCTTTATCTTCAGGTTTAACGACGAGAGATTAAACGTTAAATGTACAAAGATAAAATGACTCATTTTGTACGAGTTTAAGCAAATAGAAAAATAACACATAATTCATCATGCTAAAAGTTGCAAGTGACGGAAAAGTTTTACATTAATTTTATTTGAAAAATAGCTTATAATGTCGTCTTCTGAATTTTCTTTTTTTTTAAGTTTCAATAGAGCACAGTGGAATAACTGAATGCTTTAAATACTTTCAATGATTGACAAACCTTTCTGACATATTCTAAAACACTTGTGTCAATAAATTTGTTCTCCAAAAAAAGAAAAAGAAAATGATTTAAATTCGAGCACAGCGATCGATAGTCCATTAAAAACTATCGATCGTTCTATTTGTAAAAAAAAACTGAGCTTGACTTCTCCGGAATATTCTCAGACATCGAAGTTTATTCATATCTATTGAATTATTTTATAATTCACTTATGTCATGCAATCATAATTTATATTCTGAATAGAAATCATCATTGGTAAGGTCTTCTGTGATCATATCAGCTGAAATTATTGAATAATAAAGTATGTTCTACTCGTTTATTGACATAATTGTGAAATCAATTTCTCCTATGCACAAAAAATCAGATAAAATAAAAGATAATATTTTATATTTCGATTCCAGGTGAAGAGGATTTACCTTATCTAAAGGCTAACAGCTTTGAGATACTTCAGCTTTTTAAAAATTGATTTTTTTTGCTTTTTAGAAGCATCTTATTGATGTATAATTGTTAGTTGTGTCATTATTAAATATGACTGATTACTTGTCTTATGAATACATTTAAATCTGATTCAGATGAATTAATAAATTCTAGTTCCTTATTCGGATATTGATTTTAAACGAAAATTTGATTATGCAATATTAAATTAGACACATAATACTATCGAAACTATCTGTTTATTTTCTGAATAGGAAAAAAATAAATATATAATGAGGATATTTAATAATATTGATAATCCACGTAGGAGGTTTTTCATAGATGTATCAAGCAGGACTTCAAGAAAAACGATAGTGGAGGAAATCAAGTATAATTCTGTCTATTATTTATAAGATACAGTAACAATATATGAATGTACCTTGTCAGAAAATATTATTAATAATATTAATGAACAAAAATAAAACATTACTTCAAAAAAGTAATGTTTCTTTAAAAATTAAAAATTTCCAAATTATTAAAACTAGCTCCATCTATCGTTCTTTATAATGAAAATTTTTCAGAGGTTTATATTCAAAATTTGATTTGTTATCTATATTTAATTAGCAAATAAAATAAATCAACCAATTGTAATATGCCGAGTTGATCCGCATCATCATTTCAATATATTTTTTTTCTATTTCATTATATTTGTTCTATTTACGCAATAAAAATATGTCATTTTTTCCCTTAGATAAATGCATCCAGTCGGACCACAACAGCAACAAAGACGTGGTAATTCAACTCGAATGCCATTAATGTATTCAAGTTCTTTACCGCCTGCACCTTTGTTAGCAGGACCTCCTCAAACATCACGTTATGGTGTTATTAGTAATTTTCAACAATTAACAACAGGAAGTGGTGGTGGAATGAAACATCATCAACGTGGAAGTGGAAATCGTGGTGGTCGAGGATCAACAACAATTCATCGACAACAACGTCCAATAGCTGGTTCTCGTTATCATCCTTATCCATTTCGACCACCTTTACCGCCTCAACAACAACGTTTCTATCGTCCAGCACAACCATTACCACGTACACCTGCTGCATTAATGGGTAAATATTAATTCATTTAATAACGGAACAAACATTAATTAATATTTAATATTTTTTTAAGGTACGCCACCTGGTATGTCACAATCAGAATATGAATTAATTCATTCAGCACAAGTTCAACGTGATAAAAAGAAACTTGATGTATTAGCACCATCGAATACAACACAATTTCTTATACGTGATCATAATCGTCAAACACCATCATCAATAGCAACACCAACACCAACTCATCAAACAAGTAAAATAATGTTTCTTTTTTTCTGTACTAGAAAGTGATTTTAATAGCCGATGAAATTTTCTACCTAATGCATTCTATAGCTAAATTTCTAAAAAAAAATCAAGCATGGTAGTTTTTAGATTTCAGAAGGCTGTTTTTCTTAATAATGCGATTTTAAAGAGTACAAAATTGAGGAGTCGTCGTATTTTGTGTCTCTTACAATGTTATTGTTAAAAAATAGTCGTCTGAAACCTGAAAACTGCCGTGTCCATATATGCTTAACATTAGACAAAAAAAGCTACGTCGTTTTCAAATGTTTTTCTATTTATAGCTNTATCTTATGATAGAAGCAATCAAAAGATAAGACCTATCTTTGTGCAAGAGTTCAAATCGAAATTCAAATCTCTCTTATCCTGGTGTTCCTGAGGGGCACCATGACATTCTGTTAAAAAAACAATATCTCGGTAGTAATAAGCTATTAGCTGAAACTCTTTTCAGGATATTCATAGTTCACTAGAACCTGTAGAAATGTTCCCTTGTAAATGATACACAGAGTTAGGAAAACTGAGATCGCAAGTATCAATCCGAGGTCGATTGATTTTAGAATAAAAACACTGATTTGTCATTATTGTGAAGAGTTAATGTTCATCTTTCTAGTGAAAAACAAAGCTCCACACGGATTTACTGAGTCACACATAGGAGACTCTATTTTGATGTAGTCTTGAGCCGCAGCAACGTAGCTATTAGTTATGACTATCTTTGCATAGATCTCCACTCTACCGATGGCTATAGTCATGAAATTTTCACAACATACTCAATTAGAGCAAAAAAATAATTGATATTACAAGTTGATTTTTGACGAATCTCATCAAGTTACATGCTAGGAAAACTTCATAAACTGGACAGCCTACAATAGTTTGATATTACATTTTTATCTTTGATGTAGATAGCACTGTTCTCTCAAATAAGGAGTTAAACGCTGTGAAATTTCTTTCTAATGCAGAAATATTCTCGTCTGAATAAAAGATTTATGTTATTTTTCTAGCAGATTTGTATGAAAATAGAGATGTGTAAGGTATGGCAAAGCCTTACTCTGCACATCGCTATATGAGAGTCGATCAAGTTTTGATTGTTATTTGCGATAAAGAGTACACCGGGGTCTATTTAAGGTTCAAGTATGAGTCGAAAGAATTCTCTTTTAGATACCTTTTATCTAGAGGTGGAATTTTTGACAAATACTGTGCGCTTTAATGCTAATAGGTTTTGGGAATAAAAGCTTTTTGTGTTGGCTTCATCATGATCTTATTAACTTCATGACCTTTTCAGAAAACAATTACTGTTTTTTTTTTCGATGCTTCTATCATTTTGTCTGTTCTTGTCCTTTACCTAGTAAGATAGTCTATCCAAGTAATCATTTTTGTTTTACTTTAGGATGAAATTCAACAAGTACTTTTATTCGGTGGTTCAACACGTATTCCACGTGTTCAACAGGAATTAAGCAAATCTCTTGGCGGGTTTGTTTTCTTATACGAAAAAAAAATATTTTTTTTTTTATCAATATTAATTTAATTATAGAATTGATCTTGGTAAAAGTTTAAATACCGATGAAGCGGCTGCTATGGGTGCTGTTTATCAAGCTGCAGCACTTTCAAAAGGTTATCGTGTTAAAAGATTTCTTGTTAAAGATGCAAATCAATATCCAATAAATGTTCAATTTGAACGACATTCTGATGCAACAATGGAAAATTCTGAACAAAAATTAATTGATCGAACATTATTTCAACGAAATAATCTTTATCCAAATCGAAAAGTGATGACATTTAATCGACATATTGACGATTTTTCATTTGATGTTCGTTATGGTGACTTAACATATCTTTCAGATACGGATAAACGGTAAAAATAATCAAATAAAGAAAAACAATAAAAATAAATATGTTTTATTTTGAATAACCTTTTAGTGCACTTGGACAAACCGAATTATTTCGTGTAAATGTTCTTGGTGTTCGTACAGCATACGAAAAACATAAAGATACAAGTGAATCAAAAGGTGTTAAAGCACATTTTCAACTAGATGAAAATAGTCTTCTTGTTCTTGATCGAGTAAGTTCTATAATTTATATATAAGTATCTTTTAATATTATTCAATACAATTTAAGATTGAATTTGTTTTCGAACGAAAAGAAACTGAAGCCGATAAAAATACAACTAATGATGAAGATGAATCAACATTATCAAGTAAATAAATTTATTTATTGAAATTAAAATTTATCAATTTGTATTTTCTTTTGTTAATTCATAGAATTAGGTAGTAAAATTTCAAGTTTTTTTTCATCATCTGGTTCATCAAAATCCGAAAATGATACAAATAATGCAACAAATACTACCGATGAAAAGATTCCAACTGTAATCCGAATATTTTTTGTACTTTTTTTTAAGAATAGAATATTTTTTTTTAGAATAATACTGAAACAAATAACGATGAACAATCAAAAAAAACTGTTGATGAAAAAGGTAAACATATTTATTTATTATACTAATTCAAATTAATAGTTTTTGTAATATAGAAGGAACTAATACAACTGATAATACGACAACAACAACAGCAGCAACAACCACAACGACGCCACCACCGCCCAAAACAATAACAATTCGTGAACCATTAGAATTTCGCTTAGAAATTCTCGGTTATACTGATCCAACATCGGAAGCACAAGCTAATTCAATGAAAAAGTAAACAATATCATATATTGACAATGACAACGATGATATATCTTGAAGGAAGAAAATTTCTAGTTTGTGAAACATGATCTAAAAGTATTGAAGTATAGAAGTAAAAATTTGAACCTCTATTTATCTCATAGATGGTGACAGACGTCGTTGATATACGATCAAAGACCATTTATCAACAATGTCTCGTTCTAATATATGAACTAGTTTCCTCTTGCTTTTTGGAAGTATTAAGTAAAAACAAGGCGAAAAAATGGGTCCCAAAAGAGATAAAATAAAACAATCTTCCTATGATCAGCAACAGCATCTATATCGTGTTTCATGTATTTTTTCATAAAACTATATAAGGGTGACCAACTTTTTCTGAAGCCTAATGACCCAAATTCTTATTCTGGCTTTCGATTTACGAGGAAACCTTTGTCGATGCCCTTTCCGATTTCAATGATTGTTTTTAGCCTATAGATACTATCTAGTGTTCTATTAAAAACTCTAAAAGGATCTCAGTTCTTCTTGAGTTTTCACTAAACTATTGAATTTTTAACATGTCTATTTTCTAGAGATCCCAGATTTTCGAATTTTGATCTGAAACTTTGCGCATATAGAAGACTTAATTAGAATAACTTCCATAAAAAAATTCAAAAGTTCGCACAAAGTGTCTTCGAGATACAAAACTTTCAAGATACAGATCCTTTTCCATGGATGATTGATACAACATGCATAATTTTTGAAAATTTATCCAAGAGATCGGTACAAAAAATTCTTTAATTTACTTTAGATTAACAGCTTTGGATGAACATGATCGTCAATTACTGGCTTTATCAACAGCAAAAAATAATCTTGAATCATTTATCTACGATATGCGTGATAAACTTGAACATGATTCAAATTATAAAAAAGCAGCAACATCAGAAGAACAAACAAAAATTAATGAAAAATTAACTGAAATTGATGCATGGTTATGGGATGATGGTATTGATGCTGATGTTAAAGTAAATAATAAATAAATTTCTTTCTATGTTTATTTTTCTTCTTATTTTTTTTTTAAATAGACATTAAAATCTAAATTAGATGAATTAAAAACTTTAACAAAATCTTTAATATTACGTGTACGTGAAAGTGATTTACGTTCACAAAAAATTCAAGAACTTAAAGATATACTTAATTCTACTGAACATTTTGTTCGAACAACACGTGTTTTATTTTTAAAAAAAGACGATGATGAAAAACCATTTACTGATGGAGATATTGATGCATTAGAAAAAACTATTAACGATGTATATGTAAGAAATTTTTCATTTCATATATTGTTTTTTATAGAATCTTTGTTTTTCAGAAATGGAATGATCAAGTTTTAGATTCATTTTCAAAATTATTACCAACTGATATCCCAAAATATTTATCAAATGATTTCGATGATAAAATTAATTTATTGAAACGTGAAACAAATTATTTACTTGGTAAAATTCAACGATTTGTTCCAAAACCAAAAACAACAACAACAACACCGACAACAACAACAACAGCAAAAGTTCCAATAGATAATGAAACAAATGTTGAAGAAGAAAAAGAACAAGAAACATCTTCGACAACTACTTCGATTCCTGAACAAGAAGAGACAACAACAGCAAAAGTTCCAATAGATAATGAAACAAATGTTGAAGAAGAAAAAGAACAAGAAACATCTTCGACTACCACTTCGATTCCTGAACAAGAAGAGACAACAACAACAAAATCAGATGAAGGTATTTTTTATTGATTGAAAATTATTAATCATGATTTTGTATTTATTTAGAAGAGCATCCGGAATTATAAAATCTTGATCTTAATATTAAAAATCGTTGTTCATCATTCCAAAATCCGATAACTGATAGTACTAGTCAAATGTTCTTTCTTGTTGCTGTTGTCGATCTGTTATTCATCAAACTAATTTATTTGCTTTCATTTTGTTTTCTTTTTCTCTTTAATTGTTATGACTTATTTTAAGATCAATATAGAACATGCTTGTGTGTTCTGCGTTTTTTTCTTATTAGTATGTTTCTTTTTTGTTTTGTTTGGTTTGCCTAAATATGAAAGTGTGAAACAAAAGATATGATTTATTAGATTGAAAATAAAATAAACAACATCGAAAATTTAAATATCATATATGAATGATTGAGAAACAACTTAAGAGAGAGTCTGCTAGAAGATTGATTAGAAAGGCAGCGGCGACAATGTACTGCTCGATTTCCAGTCAGTTACCTTTACGATGTCAAGTAACTCGTAACGAAAGTTTGTGAGCTCAGTTTTCTGGTGAGGAACGATCTCTCTACCAGCGACAGAATGTTTGCGAATCGTGTTTTTGATGGATACAGACGTGCAGAATCTATCGGCATGTGCGTACGGATGTTTGGGAAAATTTTTGAAAATTTATTAGCATCTGGAGAAATAATTCTGAAAAATATTTTTCTTTCCTAGAAAAAATTTTAGTTTTCCAAACAAATCTTGGCTCATTTATATATGCATCGATAAGATCTTGCATGTTTCTACTTTCTTTTATTTTCGTTAAATATTAAAACAATCATCCGTTTCTTTCTCGTAGCGTCAGTATTCTCTGCTTTTGTTTAGGCTGATCATGCATCTCACTACTTTTCTTTCACTCTTTTCCCTTGTACGAAATTATGATTCAAAACGCACTATTTGTTTTTTCTCTAATGGTATGTCACTACTTGCCGTCTTTCCTCCATTGCTAGATATACAGTAGCGGACAAAAGTTTCCACCCACCTCGATCTCAGCTAACATAGATACTGACGGTCTGAAAATGTGTATGCACACAATTTACCAAGAATCTAGGTCAAAGCCATGAGGTTGCTTCGATTGCCAGCGTACAACGAGAATTATGACGAGTGGTAATTAATAGCACTTATTTTTTCCTTTGATCTTTATATCTCGAAAAAGGAAAAGCTTTAACAATCAGTTACCTTCTCAGTATTGTCGGCTATTTTCTAGCTATCTATACAACTAATTCCATCGAAGCCCATAAATTCTAACTAGAACAATGGCCATTTCACTGTGACCAGTCAAAGGGCAAACAACTCTTTGTTGCACTGTGTAGAGCATAAGTGAGTAATTCTTCAATAAATTGACCTCAAACTCTTAGAGAACCTTTGCTTGTAGCTGAACGTTATTGCCTGCAAGTTTCACGAAAGAGGCATCGTCCAAAGAAAAATGATATGTCCTGTATTATTGTGTTGGCACGAAGGACTCAGAAATCTCCCAAGAGAGTAATCTTGCAGCGAATAGCATCATCTTTTGAGTAAAGAAAGACCTTACACTATGCTTCAGTTATACAGTAAAATATAAAGAATTAATCATGTATTTGATAAAAAGCAACGCAAAATTTAGTGGAAAGTTTTTTCAGGTAAAAAACTTTGCAGCAGAAACAGGCTGCACTCATTATAATTCTCGTTGCATTGAAGCAATCAGAGTGAGCTCAATGCTCTGATCTACGTTCTTGGTGGATTATATGTACATAAATTTTCAGATATCCAGTACCTGTGGTAGCTGAAATCTGAGTGAGTGGAGACTTTTGTCTGCTACTGTAATTGGTGTTGTCTACCAACCCAATAATAAAGAATAGTCTAGTATTGCGTCATCAGATGATACTTGGCTTCTCAACGTCGGTAGTGGTTCTATACAGCATTCTAATTTTAGTCCTCGCCAGTACACTTGGCCAATGAAACCATTTACACTGTTATCAAAAGATAGCGTCTATGAAACTTCACATGTAGACGCATTATTTGATACACACTCTCGTTGTCTAGCATTTCGTATTGACTATCAAACCGAAGATCAATTGGCTTTTTATTTACCTAAAAATTTGCGAATCGATCAGCTATATCCTATTGTCATTCTTAACAGTTCAATAATTTCAATATCAATAGATGTTTAGACAATCTATGATCAAAAAAGAAACAACATTTTAAGAACATTTGATTGTGATAACAAAGTTCATAAGAATTAAATAAAAATTCCAAACGTTGATAATTTAGTTCTATTATATAAATGAGTCTTCTACGATATGAAGAATATATGTGGGAGCAAGAATTCGCATAAAATCGACATATTAACAGACTCATCATTAGTATAGATAATTGATTAGATGCGTCTGGAAAGTATTCTCAAAAGCTTCATTGAATACTAGTGTTTATGACATTAGAGTTGTGGAAATTGATTTTTTCGAGCAATGATTGGCAAGAAGAACGAATATATGGTGTAAAAAATTATTATTTTCGAATATTATTAAATGATTAGCTGTAGAAGTTCGTTAATATCTCTTCTACCTCTGCATCTCCTACAATTGCTATATTTTCAATATTTTGTGTATCTCAAATACCTACTATTTCTTCTTTGTCAATGTTTGATTAAACTTCATCGGAAACTTTCACAACGCATTATATGAGACTATTAGAGATTCCCTTTCAGCATTTCTTTTTTCATTCATCTCTAATCTTGTAAAATGTTCTAGTAAACAGGTTTTTTCTTATAAATGTCAAAGATCATGCCATATTTTTTATTGTAATCTAGGACATTTTCTTATACATTACTACGCATAAACTCCTTTTCTCATGATAGTGATCATGACCAAAGTATGAATGATACGGAGTATATTACTTCGTGGCTGTAAGTTCATTTATCTTTGGGTTTGGGTGTACCATGCATCTGCATTCACACAAACCCACACCCACACCCATTTCTATTGAATTATTGGAAATTCCTGCACTTTTTATAAAGAAATTTCTTTCACACATTAAAATGTTAAATTATAAACAGGGTGCGTTTATTCTATACACTGAATTATAAACTGTTGTTTTTAAACATTCCATTCTTTTGGGATGCTAACATAATTAAACTGTTTTTTTTTCTCAAGGAGAAGAAGTTCGATGTGTATGAAGCCGAACATAGACGATTGTCATATGTCTGTATGAACTATTTGTAAGAAAAACTATGGAAATTTGTGATTTTTATTTCTTCCATTTACGTATATGAATATAACGCGTCACTGACTTCAAAATGCAAATGAGTTTCTTTCTACATCGTTTTAGTTTTCCATATCTTTACAGATGTACACATCCGATTTTTTTATTTATTCTGTAAGATTTATTATGCAGTTTTCACTGAAGGATGATTCGTTCTGCACAATTTTATCATGCGTAAGTTGGGTAGACCCGTTCGAAATAGAGTACGCAATTCAGCAAAAAAAAGGGAAGAAAAATGAACCGAAAACGCAAATAAAGTATAAAATTAATGACGTTTTATGCTCTGAGAATAAAAAGAATTAAGAATCATCGAAGACAACAAATTCACCGTGTTACACACACAACATCAAACCTTATCAGCAGCACTTCACAATAACATTGGTAAGTGACTTATTAGCATAATAAAATAAGTAAAAAAGAGTCATGAAATAACGCACACATGATGCCTATATGATTTGAACATTTGATACAATCGAGATAGGTACACGATCAGTTCCAGGGATCGACTCTTCTTAACATAAATCTATATGATAAATGTCTTTTCCCATGTCTGAAAAGCAAATCTCACGAAGAAATGCGAATTCTTTATGATCTTATTGGATCATGCATCAGAATCCGATATGATCATCAAAAATAATACAAAAACTCATACGAAAAGTCATCGTCTTAGAAATGTTATGTCAATCCATAAATTAACTTTCGTACAAGACATACTAATATAATCTTCTATGACAATACAACATCATACAGTTGAAATTCTCAATATTCCATCCTTCTTCACTACAATTAGTATAAATCAAAGTTGTTCTCTTCTCTAGTGACCAAAGCAGCCACTTTAGTTCATCCGTACCTCTATTTAATTTCGCACATCATACTTTTTCTAATATTTTAACTAGTGCTGCACGCCATCGACAATTTTTCTATTGTTGTTCGGATGTTGAAACTATCATCCACATC